CTTGTGGGTCATGGCACCTGTTGTACACAGTCCGTACGAAGTCCTTTAATGTTTGGGCCTGGGCCCAGGCATCAAAGTTTTGACCATAGCCCTGCTACTGCACTAAGCCGTTCAACCATCAAGCTGCAGATCCTTCTAAAAAGGAAGCAACGACTATGACTTCTTGCTCTGGCCTTGTGAGCTTGTGCCTCACGTAAGTAGGCATGGTCCTCACCCGAGTGTCCACATCCTCGTCCTTTTTCTTGTCGCCAGAAAAAAGTCTTAGGACTCAGCAAGGGGATCTTGGGCATCCACTGCATGGGTTGGATCTGCCCAGGTGATTGCTGAAGTGGCTGCATAGCCATTGATATAGGTTGTTGCGCGCTAACCTGAGCCTGTCTTGACGATGGGACTGTAGCTGCCAATGTCCTCGATGGTACGAGAGAAGTGCTAAGAACCGGACCACTAACTACGGGTTGACCACCTGAAGGAGGAATGCCAAACATAGAAGTGAAAGAGGGCCCTACCGACGACGGCGTGACTAAGGGACCCGGAACCGAAGGGGGAGCTACAAAATATTGAGGCTGCCTCATCATCGGGCGAGGAACCTGCAGTGCAGCCAGAATCTGGTTCTGGCCGGCCACTAGTTCGGTCAGCACTTCCTGCTGGACAACCTGCGTTTCCGCCACGCAAAGGAGCGAGCGACGCGGCGCTTGTATAGCAGGGTCGAGTGTTGACTCGTCTACTGCTTCTAATATTCCTAACTCCTGCCTCCTAGCTTCTAGTCTGGATTTTCTCGTTATTGCCCTTTGCCTTCTCTCTGCCGCATCTCTCAATTGCTGCTGCGACTCATCATGAAGTGCTTCCGCTTGGAGGATCTCATAATCCTCTGGTGTGAGGGGAGACTGTTGGCTGACTTGTGAACCAACAGCCTGACTAACAGAACCCTGAGAAACACTTTGACTAACCCCTGACGAAGAGGCTTGGAACGACGCCTGTGACATGGAGGCGGTAGCCATCGCGGCCTCTAAGGTGGCTGCTGCTGCCCTAGACCTCCGATATGCCTCCCTCTCCCTGACTTCCCTCCGCAGTTTCCTTTCCTCTCCTGGAGCTAACTCTTGGAAAGTGATCGGACGACTGAGAGCAGTTCTACGTGTCGATCTAAGAGGTTCCACTACTCCTTTCTCCTCCTCACTATTGCTTGCATCACTCATGAGCTACAGTGTGTGTGATCTTAACTAGAACCTACACTGGATCCTACCTCAGCATGATACACAACCCATTAATATCTAAATCTAAATTCGGTCAGCCTAGGGAGAAGTAGTCAAGTGGTAACCAGCAATCAATGTCAGGTCCCACAGGAAACACTAATTCTATTTTTAGAGTACTCTGGAACAAATTGCCTGCAGCAAAGAATAGTAACTATCTGCAGCTGTCTGTTAGTTATCAGTCAAGCCCGTAACAAGTAAAAAATCGAGAAAACAAAATAGTGTCACCTGTAGAGATGCATGCTGGATGAAATATATTTTCCATTTTTTTTTTTTTTTTTTTTTTTAAATTTGGACCATTTCTCGATTTATGGGTGTCATCCTTGCGCAGGGGCCATGCTAATCTTCTCTGTATCATTCCAATTTTAACGGATGTCCCGAAGGACTTTTTTCCAATTTATTTTAACTGCGAACAGTTGCCAAAATTTCCCCTCCCCCTGTATCCCTCCTGAGTATTCACTTGTGTCGACGCCCTGAGCATCCAGTTGAGCGGCGTGTCTGAACGTGTGCAATCCGGCCCACCCATGTGCCCCAACTCTATGCTAAGCCTGCCAGCCCTTGCACCTTGTTTACCCTCGCATGCAACGAGCATTACTTCTGGTTTCATCTAGCTGATCAAGAGGCAGTCTAAGGACAGCCCCCAAGGTCCTCAGGAATTATTTAACGTCGGACACAAGACGACGATCATAGCCAGGGTTCAAATCCGAAACCCGCCAGAAATATTTATAGACGGTCTGGTGAGCGTCTGTCAAAGGGCTGGCATGCTTGTACTAGTCCCAGCGGGTTGACATGGTGACCGTGACCTGAGTGCTTCGTCCAGGGCTCTTTAGAGGCTTCACCCGTCTCCCACGAGCTTGCTGCCCAGGAAGAATGTCGACTCTCAAGGTTGAGTGCTCGCGACACCTCACATTGAGAGGACTCTCAAGACAGAACTCACTTCCTCATGGTAAGAAGTAATGAAGAGGGTAGATGAGGAAGAGAGCAACGTGCCTCATAATGCTGCCCCCAACCACAAATTTCTCACCGGCAACCTGACGTGCATTTATGATGACCGCTCTTTGCCTCGGCACAACAAGCAGCGAAATGCAGTTCCACCTCGGCTTAAATGCCACATCAGCGAGCTCTCATCATCCAGCGTACATCCCAACGTAACCACATAGCCTTCCTGGCGCTCCCACACGACCCTGGGCCGCCTATCGTCCAACGCCCAAGCCTTATCACTGCCCCCCAACTCGTGCGAAGCACCGAACAGTTATTGCGAAGAACCAGTAGAGCGCAGTTCGAACCAGCTCCGACACCAAATTGCGAGGAAAACAAGCAAAAGCGAGATGACAGAATCCAGAAAGCACAATCACATTGAAAGCCAGATAGTCTCACTGTGTTCAAAGAGCAACGTTACACCAATAATACACCAATGAAGAATCGTAGCACTGAAAACGAATGTCAATGAGTGTTTACACTTGTCTCCACCAACATAAGAGTCCAGACCCTTCCCCTTACTTGGCGCTCGGCGCCCAGACTACTCCCTCACAACTACCATCTACCTACTAATTGACAATGCAACTGTTGACGTCAGCAGCCACCGAAGTACATGAAGATGTCGCCCAATGCAGATCATCACCAATACCAGGTATGCGCCCTCACATCACCACCATCATCATCCTCTCTTTCTCTACCTCGTCTTAAGACCCTGTCTTCCCTCCGTGACCACCCCTGCGCACGTGCGGTCGTGTGGTGAAGCAGGGCGCTGCTGAGGCCAGCAACATAGCCGAGCCTCCATAGTTGGCTGAGGGCTTGGACATACAGTAGGGCGCAGGGGTGGTCTTCGGGTGATACAGAGGGAAGACAAGGGTGTTAAGACGAGGGAGAGAGAGAGAGAGGATGATGATGGTGATGATGTGAGGGCGCATCAGCCTTGTCTTCATTGGGCGACATCTTCATGTACTTCGGTGGCTGCTGACGTCAACAGTTGCATTGTCAAATCATAGGTAGATAGTAGCTGTGAGGGAGTAGTCTGGGCGCCGAGCGCCAAGTAGGGGAAAGGGTTTGGACTCTTATGTTGGTGGAGACACTTGTGAATACTCGTTGACATTCATTTTCAGTGCTACGATTCTTCATTGGTGTATTATTGGTGCAACGCTGCTCTCTGGACACAGTGAGACTATCTGGCTTTCAATGTGATTGTGCTTTCTGGATTCTGTCATCTCGCTTTGCTCATTTTGCTTGCATTTGCTCTTTTGTTTGCAAAATTTCCATGTTTTTCGCGGGCGGAGCCGCAACAGCCCAAGCTAGTAAATGCCAACATTTCTCGGAGGGCTGCGAGATTAGAAAACCAAACATAACTACGCGCTGTCAGTTCCCCTTCAAGCTCACAAGCAAAGACAGACCACCATTCACAAAGTTACTTCAAGATTGGGAGTTGTAGGGTCTCTCTGAGCGGTTGTAGGCATCAACAAGGGCTTCTCTAGTTAGTGGCATCAACAAGGGCTTCTCTAAATGCCGCTAGTTAGTGGGAGAGGTAGAAAGCGGCCATAGCTTCTCTAGGTTAGAGATAGGCTATAACCTGTATGCGTGAGTGTGAAGTGAAGTGTGTGCGTCTGTGGGACATCCAGGGAGATCCAGAGTAGCGTGCGTGTGAGCAGTTGCTGAGGATACAGTGTAGGAAAGGTGTTGTGAAGGCGCACAGGCACCATAGCTATTCGAAGTTGAATCTGAACTGTGTTCTCGGCCTTGATATCTCTGAGCTTTGTGTGGGCGCCTGGCGCCAGTGTGACTGCCATCTGTTTTCATGCAGGCTGAGAAAGAAAGAAGACGAGTCTGATTGCAGGGCGGGAGACATTGGTTTAATCTTGTCTTCTTCTACTTTTTCTTCTTCTTGTTTTTCTTCTTTTCTTCTTCTTTGCTTTAATCTCCTCTTTTGTTGTCGTCTCTGCTTCTTCTTGATATGCGATGCATGGCATTCTCTCAAAGTTTAGTTTTGCATCAACAATCGAGCAGGATCATAATGATAACAAGGACAAATTTAAAAACACAGTAGTTTACAATATTTATGTTTATGGTACGGCTTGCACACTGCTGAAAACCATTGGTTCTGTACTGCTCTCTGAAGAGCTGTTTGAATTTTTTAAGCTTGGGCTTTGTTATCGTTGGTTATTCTTGGGTGCTTCTTTCTCAGTGCCTTTCCCTTGTTTGTCTTTGTGTTGTCATGTTCCTCTGCGCCATCCAATTGCCAAATCTACTGAACACTACAGAGCTTCATTTCACTTCCCGAGTTTCACTCGGTCCTCCTTCACAATCTCTTGTTATTTCCCGACCTCATTGATATCCCTCTGGAATTGTCGGGTTAAACCAAATCTTGGCCTCCGTCGTCATTTGAAGGGGTGTCATTGAGAAGTACAAGAAACAAAGATCCTACATGTTTTTTTTCGACGGATTGATGACCTAGGAGAGAGAGAGAGAGAGACATACACAATCGTATACACACACACACACACTCACACACAAAGGCACAAGCACACAGAGGACCGGGGGGGAGAGAGAGAGARAGAGAGAGAGAGAGAGAGAGAGAGAGAGAGAGAGAGAGAGAGAGAGAGAGAGAGAGAGAGAGAGAGAGGCACAGAGGGTCTGAAAGATTCGTGGTGATGCAGTCTACCGCCGGAACACGGGAGGTTGCTGAGAGTTGCCTAGATTTACTGGGCATTGAACTCGTTGCTGCATATAATCGCCAGCTTGTTCACCATCCAGAGCTGGCAGGCCGCCGAATCGAAGCAATTGGATTTCAAGTGGGACAGCAGCTTGTGGAAAGGTACGTTTCTGCTAGTTTGGAAGTCCACCTGTATCTTGATGCCCTGATTTTCATACCACTTTATGTGCACCTCCTGTAATGCGCTCATTTTTGTACCAGTGTAACTGCCTTTTCTGTTTTTCTCCCCAGTACCACCCATCCTCTCTTTTCGTGTGTTATCTAATGTCCTGTGTATGGAATTCTCTTTGGAAAAGGAAAGAGACTGATACATGCAAATGATGTGGAACTTCCAGATCTTAGGCTGGGGGAATTTTGTATTTTCAACTTCTCCGATCTTTAGCGCTGATTCCAACCAGTTCAAACACCAGCTCCAACCCCAATTCCAAATCCAATTCCAATTTCCAACCCATTTCCAAATGAATCAAGGTAATAAATAATATTGAGTGTCTACCCTCTTTTGAACTTCAACTCTTTATTGAACCCTTGGTGACCAAAGTGGAGACTTCATGCATATGAACTATTATGAAGTATTGAGAAAATGGTATAACATATAGCCCAAACAAACTGTCAACTGGAATCAAATCCACTCGCAGTCAGCTCTAAAAGTCACTTATGGGGATGAAGAAAGAAGCAAGGAGGTGGAAAGTGCAAGTGCTTGTTGATTATGTTCCACCACTGAAGGTCAGTGGACTGTGGCTGCTGGGCTGAAGGAACGTTCCACCCAAAGCTAGCCTTTTCGGTCATTTCTTCAGGATCCTCTGCCACTTGACCTTTGCCAGAAGGGTATGCAACACTGCTAGTTTGCCTGCAAATGCCCTTTGGAACAAAGATCGTTTGTGTGGATGCTTATGTCTGTTGTCGTCAATCTCGTGCATGTATGACTTCAGGTTCTCCAAGGACCGACCGAGATTTACAGATCACCTTGAGATTATAAAGTTCCTTTGTAAGGATTTTTGGACAGGGGTTTTCAAGAAGCAGGTTGACAACTTGAAGACTAACCACCGGGTATTGTTCTCTACCTTTGTGATCCCCTATTCTTGTGGGACAGTGTTCTCTCTCTCTTCTCATGCCTATGAACAGCTAGGCATAGCGCACAACCAAGAATCACCAGTGTGAGGAGGACGAACAATGCGAAGCAGCGGAAGTGAAAGGATTTCACTACATCAGGCCCCAGTCCCAGTCCTGTGTACCACAATTGTGTCCCATGTAAATGTGATCCCCTATTCTTGTGAGACTGTGCTCTCTCTCTCTCTCTCTCTCTCTCTCTCTCTCTCTCTCKCGCGCGCGCGCGCGCGCGCGCGCGCTGGCTCTCTCTCAATAAAGACATGGAACCGAACCAAGAATCACCAATGTGAGGAAGAAAAACAATGTAAAGCACTGGAAATGAGAGGATTTCGCCATCTCAGGCCCACGTCCCAGTTCCAGTCCCAGTCCCAGTCCCAATCCCGTGTACAATAATTCTTTGTGCCATATACAGTCCCATAGCCGGTAGGTCTGTAGGCCGTTGTAGTCGACTTTCGGTAGGGTCTGTAGGGCCAGTCTGTACAGTCAGCTGAGTTCGGTAGAGTTTCGGTTGAGTTAGCAGCCAAGTTCCAAGAAAGTCGGGGAACTTTCCAAAACATCAGCCGCAGCCATGCAAGCCAGGGTTTGATATTGGAAGTCGAAGGCCAAGGGAACTCGATCGTTGCATATAAAAGTCCATTTGCCGAAGACATGAACATGTATTCTGTACGTGCTTATGGTGGAAGAGCTGATGCACTTGTGTCCACCAAGTGCTTAGTCAGTGACGCCCAGCGCCATAGTGAGTAGAGAGAGAGACTCTCAACAAAGGCATTCAGAGAGGGATGCGAGGCTGAGGGTAGTATAGGTTGAGAGAGAGGAAGCCATACTGTTGAGGTTGTTTAGCGGCGGTGGCTGGTCGAGTGTGTTTACAAGAGACTCTTTTGTATACGACTTTGAATTTCAGTTCAATTTACCGAAGTTTCTCATTTCGTGTTGGTTTGCATCTTATGTGTGGAGCTTGGTGTGATGAAGTGTGCACTTGCTATGGTGTGTGAAGCGGTGTGAATTCGTGAACACAATGCAATTGGTATCAGAGGAGACTCGTTGTCTTCTAGTGATGGCCGCACATGTGTGAAGCTGGTGTGGTGTGTGTAAGCCCAGCGGGTGACAAGGATGAACTACCAGCCTTCTAGGTACTGGCTTAAAATATTGTGAATCTCTTTGGCCTCTATTGGACTACCGACTAAACCTACTGGGTTGCAGGGCCTTCCTGAGTTGCTGGAAAATCCTACCGGGTCCCTGGTGCGAGGAATGAGAGCCCTCGCGGGGCCCTTCTCAGACATGCACATGTTCTGGGCAGAGGCCATTCGACATTTTTCATATGTGGGTACTCAGGCTGTTACAGCCCGCCGGTTGGTTGAGTGGACGCGTGAGCCTCCCTAAGCTGCGTCGTACCGCTTGGCCCAGGCCGTGGCAGTTGCGCCTGGGCACATACACACAATGCAGGGCCGATGCATCATGAAGTGGGTGCAGGGCCGATGCATCATGAAGTGGCTACAGGCCTACACAAAAGCAGCACTGTCGACGTACATACCCTGGGTTCTGTGCAAATTCAGCAAACGGCCCAAGTCTGGAGACCCTGGCCGTGTCCAACTGTAAAGGGCCCAGGCCCTCAACTGTATCACTGGGCCTGGGCGCAGGTACTGGCGCCCGACCGGAAGCTACTGGAAGTTTCCTAGCCAGGTCACACACAGCCAAGCAGAGGCTGCCACTTCCATATAGGAAGGAGGGCAGCTAGGGTCTGGCATTCTGGCCCACGCAAGCAATGCAGTCACGCAACTGCGTTGCTGCACGAGACGCTGCATGCTGCGTTAGCGGCGAGGGCGCGTGCAGGCGCTTGTGAGGTGAAGAGGGGCAATGCTGGGCAGTGGAGCGCGAGCAGCCATAGTTGGGCTGCATGGCGCTAGGGGGTAAGAGAGCGATCAGTGGTCTTCAAGAAGGAGGCGAGTGTGCGTGGTCAGAGTCTGATGAGGGGAGACGAGATACACACCCGGTACATGAGAGAGGTCGGCTATGGTGTTGACGTCATGTACATTGATCTTCAAGAGTCGAAGTGAGCCTTTTGCGTGAATGCTGATGTAGGTAGGATAGGCGAGTAGTGTAGGCTGGGCGTTGGGCGCCAGACTGAGAGGAGCGACATTGGATGCTGTGTTGGTGTGGCCTGAGGGTGCTCATGACTTCATTGTATTGCTCTTATTTGGATGAAATCTCGGTGCATTTGTGCTCTATGCTTGTACATGACTACTTGGACATCTGTGTGATGTCGTAAATTGGCGGTCTGTATATCGTTCCCACTTGTATGCCTTGCAATTTGGTATCAGAGCTGGTTCGAGATCTCCAATTACCTGGCGCTGGCAACATTGTTACTTGGTGCGCTGACGATGATTCTGTGCAGTAAGGATACTTTGGCTTGATATAGCGGGACCCAGGTAGAGGGATCGGTGTAGGGCCAAACCGTGGTAGACTTTCGAGCCTTAGTCGACCCCACTGCGGGTCCCAGCTGGCTCGGCCCGCCCACGCTCACGCTCAGGGCGCGGGCTGTTCGTCCCGAGGTCACCCCCACCTAGTGCTTTGAGATGGATGGGGGTGGGCCATTGCGCGAGAGAGCTTCGACATTGGGGATGTAGCTCAGCCCTCACGCCGGGTGGTAGTCTCGCTGGTCGTTCCGCAACGCTGATGATTTTTTTTTTTTGATTCTTTGTTGTGTTCTCATGCAATATGCAGGCAGTCCAAGGATTCTTTGAGTATTTCTCTTCTCTTGTGCGTAGGCTAAGCGTCATCCTTAGGCCACGCACCATTTCCCTAAGCATTGTGGCTATATGGCATCATCGGGGTGCGGCGAAGCCGTCCTCCCCCTCGCCTCTATGCATCCATCGAATCTCACAATTTGCTTTCTTCTTTGTTGAAGTAGGCCCCTTAGTCTTTTCGGGGTCCTCATATGCATGCACACTCAACATCGCATTTTCCTTGGTACGATTGCACTCTCATTTACATTCCAAGTCTTCAAGCGCAAACGTCGTTTCCATGGGTTGACTCTATGTGAAGGGTCCCATAGCCCCTCAGCCCCTCTTCCCTTTCCCTCTTGGTGCCCGGTTCCGCTTGCCCCTATCCCGCTCAAGGCATTTCTAGCCATCACTTACCTGCACAATCCCACACAAGCAAGAAGATCCATACAATCCCCCGTTGGGGGTCAACACATAGCCGTTCCCACATGCCTATCTTTTCAAATCCTTTGGCCGTTCTTTGTTCCCTCTTGTTGCTCAATCAGCCCATTCTCTTCTCATAGTCATGCAGTCGGGGAAATGGTTGAGTCAACTGACCTTCCTTTCAACTTATGTTCTCTTCCGGATTCCGCCTTTCTCCCACTTTTTCAAACATCCTTTCTCTTTTGCCTCCTTGGTGGCACAAGGGACCGGCTATCCTCCCCTTGCCCTCTTTCTCCACCAAGTGAAGTCTGATTTCGTTTACCGTCCGTACCCTGGCAATGTTTCCAAGTGAGGGGAGAAGGGTTAGTCATATGCCAAGTGAGGGAACGGGAGAGAGGGGAAGAGAGAAGGCGAGGTAGTTAAAAGGGGGGGCGAAAGAGGGTCTAGAGGAGGAAGGAGGGAAAGGGGGAGAGGGAGA